CAATGCGTAGTTCGCTCGGAACAAAGCGGCCGCTAGACGCCCGCGATCATGACGCAATTTTGTCGGCACAATCCGCGCGAAATCCGCGTCGAGTACGAAATGCGTGGCACGAACCTTCCGTACCCCTCGCGATTACACCTTAAATAACGTAAACTGCAGATTCAACGTTGTGCAAAATTACGTATGAGCGACCCGCTTGAAATTCGGTCGACGAGGGAGGTAGTCGGAGGCTCGCGCGCGGCGTTGCGAATAAAACTGCGCGTCGATCGGCCGGACGTGATCTCGTACTTACTCGTAGGGCGCTCCCCGTACCTGGGCGGCCGAACCCTCGCGAATTTGCGCGGCGATCGGACGAGGAATCCCCGGGTCGCGACCGGATCGTCGCGGGACGAGGCTTCGACTACGCGTGGACGCGCCACATCTGCTGTACCAGATGCACCGCATAGAATTACGAGGCCCGACCAATCGCGGGAGGCTCGGAGGCACGCGAGCGGGGCACGCGGAGATGCACAATGATCTCGGGGGAGTCGCGAGGGCGTCGGGAAAAGCCGCGCACCTCGGGGAGAGACGCGCGTCAATTCAGCCGACGAGAGAGGAAATGGAAAAAGCACCTCGTACGGTCCCTTAAACAAAAGGATCGACGTCTCTCCCGTGCGATTTCCAAGGCCCAGTTTCACCAACGTCGCTTAACTTTAATCTTGGTGTAATTTAGCGTCCCTTTCTGAGGCCCGGTTTCGCCAACGTTGTTCAACTTCGAGCTTGGCTTAATTCGTACTTTGTCCCTTTTCAACTGTTTACTTTAAAAAGAGACGCGATAATCTCTCCTCTATCGCTGATAGAGGAATGATTCTCAAATCACATTACCACTCTGATCCCTTAAGATACGCTTTAGTCGATTTAACCGGGGTAACTGATTACTATTATTCTACCAATCTGTATCAAAAGTATTGCGCTCACATCCTGTATTCTCGATTGTTTTATTGTAGTTTTACTGAGGAAGACCCGAAGGAGGGTCGAAACGTTTATTAAAGAGAAATTTGGTCTCTAATTTGCGAGAACCGTTTTCTGTTCATTTGTGGCTCACATTGGTGGCAAAAGTTAATCGAGTCATTGTAATATGAAATTGAACGGTAAAAAATTATAACAGAGTTGAGTCGTGGTTATAAAATTAACGGCACGAGATAAAATATATGTCTACCATGGCCGGGAGTGTCACTTTTTAAGAATGAGTGCTTGATAAGGACCTAAACCCTCGGTCGAAACGTCGCACTGTATATTTTTAATTTATTAAACAAGTGCCAGTTAAGGTCGACTAAACTTGTTAAAAAGAGAGAAACCAGAATTAAATTGTAAGATCCAAAGTTAAGTGGCGTTTGGTGAAATTGGGCCTAAGGGAACGGTTGGTGAGAGACAAAGGACGAGCTGAGCTTAAAGTTAAGCGACGTTGGTGAGAAGTTGGGCCCTAAATCCACAGCGCCGCCTAAAGAAATGGAAAATCGATCGCGGAGGAGAAATATGGGATATTTTGTGAATATCGAAATTCGTTTAAACTGCGAGCAGCTTGTTCGTACTCGACATTCCGCAGTTACGTCGATAAACTTATTACACTTATAAGCTCGATGACGCTTTGAGGATACAAGAAATAACATTGATTTCGTTATCTCAGATATCTTCTCTCTCTCTCTTTTTATTAATCCACTTCGGTATTGTTGTAGCCGATTTATGCCGCGTACTCGCACGTAATTATCTTCCTAAGAGCTGAAACTATATTTTTACAAAAACTTGATCTTCACTCAACGACTTCTCGCACAACACTACGAGGATATTCGAGATACATTCGTCCAGATTTCTCCAAGTAACTGTGCAAAATAATTACATGCGAGTACCGCCTAATTCTCGCGTACACTCGCTGCCTACGGTTACGTAAAGTGTTCGATGAAAAACAATTCACTCGCGTGTACCAGAGAGCCGAGACGCGGCGGGCTCTCGGAGAGCTCGTCACCTCGGCTCGTCCCTCTTGGCAAACGTCACCCTCGATGCATACAAAAATAACGTTCTCGTTGTTCGTTAAAAAAATTTGATCAAGCTACTACAATGCTATCTGCAACCGGTGAAAGTCATTTGCCGCAGAAAGGACTAACGTCTTTAGCCATCACATTTAACTGTACATGCCCCGTGGTGCGCGTGTTGCTGAACTAAAACGTTGGAAACATATACCGCCCGGTGTCTTGGTTTGCCAGTCGCGCGAAGCAAACTTGATGAATCTTGCGATTAGAATCGTGCGATCGTTACTTGTCTATCATCTTTATCACACTGTTTGTTCATAAATAAATATTGCGTTGGTATTTACATACGCGGTCCTGAATCACGGTGTTTATACATGATTTTCTTTGCGAAGAATCTCTATTGTTTCAGAAAAATGTACACGATAGCGTAGATGACGCTACAAAATGTAGAAGAGTAGAAAAACTTTCGGTATACGTTTGCCGTTACTTAAATATAAACGTTCTTCTAGACGTTGTACAACCGAGAATGCGCTTCGAAACGGCTGTCGACTTTGTACTTTCCCATAATATTTCTGAGAATATCTCTCTCGCTATTCACGTATAGTGTTACTGTGGTATTAGGAAATTGACAATATCTAATCTAGGTCGAATAAAGAACGCTTGTCTCGCTAACTAATAACGTTTATACGCTTTAAGTTATTGCTTGGCGTAAGTAGCTTCTTTCAGGCCACGGCACCGCTCGCGACAGTCTCTTCTCAACGCAATCGCACGTCAGTCGCGGACCGCGGTGGAGTTGCTCGCCCCACCGTAGACCCCGCGCGACATCACAAGTAGTGTCTTTCTATGTACATGCGTAACGTGCGCTTAATTTATTAGTATTTACAAATACACAGCTTCTCAGATTGCGTACAAAGCGATCCTCGTCCGCGTGAGAGTCTCTTCTCAAAGCGCGAGTCCTCTCTCCATTTACTCCTCGCGTTTCTGCCACATTTCCGATCCGTCGTTCTTTCTCTGAGCAATATCAATCACATCTGCAAACGACACAGAGATGGTGCGGTTACACGAATCAACAACTGGAGGAACTCGTTGCACGTCGAGAGATCTTACGTGTAGCTTTACCGTACCTGTCGCGCCGCGATCCGTCTCCGTTGTCACGTTACCGTTCGACTCCGATAGCTTGAACTTGTTCACGTGCTGCTGATTCTGTATCTCGGATACAGTCGCGAGCATTAAGCTGCTAGAGTTTTTCAGCCCGTTATACGATTGTTCCAATTGCTTCAACTTGCCGATTAGTTCCACGTCGGTGGTGCGTATCTCGCTCACCTGCGTTAATTAGAAATGTCATTGACGATCACCAAACGCAAAATAGAATATTCGTATTCGATACGCACCTTTTCTGTCAATTGCTGAATCGACGCTAGAACGGAAGCCTGCTCGGACACTTTGACGCACTCCCCCTGGAGCGACATCATCGTCGTGTTGATAGCCGCCGTCGCTTCTTGAAGCGAGACTAATTTCTTCTGCAACGATAAAGAGACCAAGTGTTACTGCTTGACGCTCCGAACGTTGTTACAAAATCTGTCACGGCTTAAAACGTTACACCATACTTACGCGATCTTTGTCCTGATCATCGGCGACCCATTGCAATTTGTTTGACAAGGTCTCATTGACATGCGTTAAATTATTCGTTAAATGCGATATTGTGAGGTTCAGTTTGTCAGTCTTAACTTGGGCTTCGTCGGTGCTCGGTACTTGAGGCTTCTGGGTAACGTTCGACAGTTCTAGCAATGTGTACTGCAAAAGCGAAACACACACCGTCCGATGAATGTCGAACAGATCAAGCTACTCTCCGTTCGAGCGTCGACGGTATTTACCCTAATACTGCTGATGTTTTGTTGCATAGTGGTCTGCGCATCCTGCACCCTCATGTTGGTCTCTTTCAGGGTCTTCACCGTGGCCCCGAGATCCCTTATTTGACTGCCGAACGTCGCAACGCTGGTCGACAGCTCGTCCAGCCGCTTCGGCAAATTGGCCATCTCGGGCGCGGCCTGGAAGTACTCCTGCACTTTATGCAAGTCCTGCTGAATATGCGCCAGCTGTAAAAGTATCGATCCGGAAGGCCGTGAGTCATCCCCGTGTCGCGCTATCGCAGACCGAAAGTGTCAATGTTAACTCGTGCGGTTTTACCTGTACCGTGAAATTATTTATCTGCTGCTTGAGGTCGGACAGCCTGGAGAAAATTATTGTTTGGTTATTCTGGAGGTCTCTCGACAACGAGTGGCATTTCTGCAGGGCGTCCGGGACACCCTCGCTGCCCGCTATCACTGTAATGTACAAGAGATTAGGTACAAAAGTGCGAAGGGAGAGAGAGGTAGAAAAAAGTCGCGCGGTGTTACGAGTCTGAATTCTGTGAAAGGTTCTAATTAAAAATCCCTAAAAAGGTCGACTTTCTAATACGCTACATCTTGAGATGTGAAACAGCATTTAAATATAAAAGCTATTATATTCTGTGCATTCATAACGATCGGGATCTGCTTCTTTATTCGCGTTTTCGCGTTAAGGGTACAAATGACTTCCTTTGCTAATTGATCGCTTTAATGCCTTCGCAGACGTTCGACCAATACCTTGGTCTAACTCGGTTCGCAGAGCGGTAAGCTGTTGACGGACATCGATGAACAGCCATATCAGACTGGCGGTCGCTAATACGGAGGCGCACGCCAAAAAGGCGTTGCAAGCCTTGAGAAATCCGGGACAAGCGCGGCCCCTCCTGCCCCTGCACTTGCGGCCGTTTCTGGTGGAAACGTTCCAGTATTCCGAACGATCGTCGCTGCTGTCCGTCAATAATTCCTACAAAAATGTAAGAGAAAGCAGATGTACTTCCAATTAATCAGCACTGACAAAGCAACGAAATAATCGCTACTTATAGCAGCCATCGTTTCTTTTTACAATTCATCTTCCTTCTCGACACAATTTTTATTCTTTTCAGGCACACTAGTGGAATGTACACGAGTCAATCGACGAGTCGTGTTATCCACGTTCACGACTCGTTTATCTCACTTTCGGGGAACAGTGCAAGCGAATGGATTCGAGAGTTGCCAATTTGTCTTCGTGTTTGCTATCAGAATCATCTCCGCCGGTGCCAAGTGTATCTTTCATTATCTATACATTGTGTACTCGGAAGAGAATCTTACTATCCGTCGTCCATTTATTTTTCAAAATTTTTCACCGACTCGCAGACTCGAGAATCACCGACGGCGGATTCTTCGCGAGGAAGAAACCGACGTTGCAAGGTCAGTTGTCTTAGTCACCTGCGAACTGCGTTTCCCGGAGCTCCGGCGCGAGATAGCGTGCGCCGGCGCCAGGGCGTCGAGCTCCTTCCGCTTCTTCATCTTCTTCGCCGGCTGACGAAGCGGCACCGTCACCGCCACCGAGTCCATCTCAAGCAGGACCGCGCCGCCTATTTTTCAGGATTGTCCTCCTCGGCGGGGGGCCGATTCAATGCACTTAACTCCCGACGGTTCCCCGACGGACACCGCACACGATCGTCGCTCCGCGATCGCGCGCGATCATCTCTCGATTAGCGGCGAACAACGTGGTCCGGCCGCCGGCGCTCGACACTTGCGGAAGGCGGTTTCGCGCGAAGATATTAATCGGCGCACAGAACTTCCGCTTCAGTCTACATCTTCGTCCGCGCAAAATGCCCGGCGCTTCCTCGCTGCGCTTTAGGGATTCGAAACCGGCTGGTGCACTTTGATCAAGTCACGGCTCTCGTTAAACGTATCGCGTATCTATGCACACTCGTTAATTGATCGCCGCTCCTAAGATTGATTGCACTTTGCGAATAAATGTCTTGTACCGTGAATAATTGTATGATCGACGATGCCAGGGTGTGCTGCGATCAGCGTCTACGCGAGGTTTCAGGTATAAAACACATTAATATGAAAGAGATGATGGGTAGATGCTTTTATAAGATTCCTCGAGCAATCTCTTCTGACGAGGAAACTAAGTTCGAACTAATGCTAAATGCACTTTGCACACTGAGCAAATCGCTAGATGAAAGAGAATTTATTAATGACATTTTAATGTTCAATATTGTACATTAAAACGTCATTAATATATCCCTTTTATCCAGCAACTTGGACCGTGAAAGACTACATGACTGACATGATCTTAATCAATGTTTCTCGACAACTCTATCACTATCTTTCCATCTCAACGACTTTTGCAGATTTTTAATTTGAAACGCCGATCTTCTTATCGAGAAACTTCGATAAATCCAGATATCCAGTGGGATGCTATTCCCTCTCGCGATAGTTGCCTATCTGAAGCGCCAGATTTAAAACTCTTTTTTTATTAAAGATTAAAATTTAATTAACGGTTTGTTATCGCAACGAAAGACGGTGATCGCGAAACACGATAAACAAACCGCGTCCTTACGTCACAATTTCGCGTAAAACGGTAGAGGAACCGGGACTGGCAGTGAGAGTGGGAATAGGACCGCGTTGTCACCTGATTACGTTATGAAAGTCGGGGAGATTGTTGGTATTTTACGGTGCTCTTGGGCGAGAAGCCCGAGAAACGTGCAGAGCTTTGCGTGTCGAACGTCGGGACGTCACTGGGGCGAGGGATATCAACCGACCGGCATCTGGCCAGCCGCGTTCGCGTTCGCGTACGCACGTATACGATCGAAAGTCTGGCTCTGAATCGTACGCACGTGACACACGCAACGACGACGCACGGTGACTACGACGTCTCGAGCGAGAGAACCGTCCGCGGCCGACGTTGCTCGACGCGGCGCGACATCGAGTAAATTCCGGGGAGCCGCGACTGATAAGACTAATCGCCGCCTTGACGTTAATCTCTCCAAGGCTCCTCTTTGTGTTTACCGTGGAACATTACCGTAGAATTGTCCGATAAACGCGATAACGCATGCGAGATGTGCCTTAAATGTTACGCTGGCAATCTGATACGACCGGAGAGGTGTATTACAAGCAAAATATAATTAATCCTAGTTAGGGTAATTTGATGATCCACGATAGAGAAGTTGACGGTTTGCTCCGCGAGCGAAGACCCTGAAATCACTTATCTTGTTTTCCGCTTTTAAACGGAGTCGTCGCGAGGCAGTTTGGGAGGGAAAACGGAATGCGCGGTGTCGAAATTAGTCTTTGATAATGAAATCGATTAGATAGGGACAAATCCGATGATGAGTTATTAATACTACTGTCCTTTCCTCGCGACGTCAAGCCGCAATTGGAGCTTTTCGTTTCTGGTTCGCGATCAACTGGATCATTTAACGGAGCAAAATCCGCGTGATACTATTATCACGACATTTAACCCGTTGACAACTCGGTTGATATTACTATTATGTTATTATTGAATGATGAAACTGTTGTGGCCGCGACAAAAGCGACGAAAGTTCAAGTCGCTTAAAAATCCCTTCATTTCGAGCCCCGTGAATGTCCGTCTTTATTTCAACGTGTCTTGAAATCCAATTTTAAATGGTTTCCGGCGCGATGTTAATTCAACACGACGCGGCCCGGTCGTCTGGATGGAAATACGCCGCGACACGATTACGCTCGCGGCCCTGAACTCGATAAGATACCGGTGTACGAGAGGTAAAAAAAAAACTATTTTGTAGTTCACGCTAGTCTCGAGGTGCATTCTGTTATTCACCGAGCTATATACAGAGAAAAGTCTCCTATTACGAGACTGGCTTCTAAAGACCTGCGTCCTCGATGCTAGAACTTGGTCCAAGTCCTAGTTCCCAGAGATGTGCAGATCAAATTAACTTGCAGCTTTTATGGAGTAGCTGCAAGTTGATTGGCTACGCATTTCTCGAAATTAGAACTTGGACCAAGTTCTAGCATCGTCGACACAGGCCTTAAGAGAGAGAGAGAGCAGGTGCTCAACATCTAAATTCAATCACAAATCGTTTCTTGATGCCTACTAATTTAGCAGAAACCGCACTATCTCATATTAGGTGCCTATCTCACAATAGAAGACTTTCCTCTACCGATGAAGTAAATTTTCCAGGCTGATAGAGTGTCAGGTCTTGGTGAAATTATCGAGGTAGAACCGTTGCGAAACGAGATCGAGGAAAGTCTTGAAAATCGATCTTGTGCAGCTACGCGACATAAAGCTTTAATGTGCTGCGACTTTGGTGTTTCGGCGTATTTGCGGCGTGCACGGGAAGGCAGATATGCCGATCGTGCGAAATCCCGACGACAAAACAAGCGCGATTTCGCGCGTACGATAGGTGAAACAACTGGACTACCAAATAACGACCGATTCCGGCTGAATCGCCACGGCCGAGCTCCCGCCTCCCGCTGGTATCCAATTAAATCGTGCGCGATTGCGTGCGTTATCGCGGACGAGTCCGCCGCGGAGACGCGGCATCTTCGAGTCCTCGTCGCGCGTCGCCCGAAGAATGCGCGTTCCGCGCGACGACGGAGGGGGGAAGGAACGCAGCTGTGTACACAGTAAAAAAAATAAAATGTTAATGTTAACATTTTTCACATGTCCCAAAAAGTCCACTCTAAATTTTAAGTTAAAACAACATTCATCGTGTGTGTTACTGTTTGGCAAATTACAAATGTTAATTGGTTAGCGCTGTACTTCACGTTTATATTTATGTTCTTTTAACTTTAAGTATGACGTAATAAAAGCAAACGGGATAAGTAAACTGTACGAATAGTTAGAAATTAGAATAGTTAAAATAATTTTTGAGAAATGCTGATATTACACGTTTTGGTTGATTTTGGTGTTAAAAGAACTCAAAATAGTATTAAATTTTTAAATAACGAACATAAACTGTCATGTTATTATGTTAACATAAATATAGCACACAAAAATGTTACAAAACTAATGACACATCTGTTTTATGTTGATTTTACATTGAAATAATCAAATCTTGGTGACACAAGGAAATTTCTACTTGAACACACGATTTTTTACTGTGTACACAGTTAACGACAAACAGTCGTTAACACTCGTTAGACGGCTTGCTAATTAAGCGGTTGTTGTTCGGCGATCCATCCTCGCGCCGATACACGCGGAACTTCGGTCGCGCGTCTAACAGCTGACTAATCCCGTCGATTAATTAATGCCCCTTCGTCGTCGCGTCCCTCGCCGATCACTCGCACCCTGAAAACCACAGTCGACCGCTTTAAGAAGGTGCCCGCCGAGAATTCCGGCGCACGTGTTGTCGCGGACTCTTGGTAAATTAATAAGAAACCAGGTCACTCACGATTGTTAAACGAAGTGATAAGCGAAGACGGTGGCACAACGCACCACGTACGTTAAATTCCGAAGGGGAGAAGAGGTGAGGGGACGCGAGGAGTCGCGGAAGCGACGTTATCGCCGATAACGTCGACTGTGGGTTTCCGCAGGCGCGTGTCCGCTGAAATATTTATTGCGTTTGCGTCAGCAGGGAAGGTAGAGTACTCGCGTACTTGCGCGCATTCGTCTCGCGTGCCGTCTCGTACGCCGACGACACGCCTCTCGCCTTCCCTCCCCCGGGAGGGAAACAAGGATCCCTCATCTCGTGCGAGTACACGGAGAAGATAGGGAGTAAATCTTCTCACTCTCTCCCTTTCGCGATCGCCAAGTGTATCCGATCGTGTTGACACCCGAGCGAGCGATCCGGGCGACGTGAGTAACGAGAGCCAGGAGGGTCGCCTCACCGTTAGATTTCAAATGCAAATCTATGCAAATGCCAGGGACGATTTTACGCTCCTCGTAGACTCCTCGCGGCGTGCAAATCAATTTTATCGTTTCACTCGCCTTCCAATTTATCGCTTCCGTATTTACTTCATCCGCGTTTGTACTCCCCGGTGTCCTTAATTCCGTCCTCCCCTTGTCCACGCTCTTTCTAATCCTTTCTCTCCGTTACCTGGTGAATTAATGTACCACGTTAGTCTCACTCGGATGCGTAAAAGTGTTCCTGCGAAATGTCTCCTCCCCTGCCGATTTCCATGCTTGCCTCACATGCATTCGTTCCTTTTTTCATCCACGAGATATCCCCGTTATCTCAATACATAAGATATTAATGCCAGATTAATGCAGAGGACTAACATCTCTCGCGTTAATTTTATATTATTCATACAACTCAGAACGTCCACGATTCTTTCGTCGATTTATCCGGGACCGTCCCCCTGGCACTCACACTCCACCGCACTCGCGGCTCACATTTGACAATCGAGCGAGGACGCGTCGCTCCGCGGAATTGAAGCAAGAGGAAGGAGAGAAACAGGAAGGAGTGGGTGGCGAGCTCTCACACAGAACATGCAGAACTTGACCTACGAGAGGGATGAATTATAGAAGCGATTCTAATCGATTACCGCGCGGCGGACGGAAACGGGCGGACGGCGGCGGCGGCGGCGGCGGCAGCGGCGGCGTCTCGTTTTTCTACACGGCCGGGACCCTCGAAGAACGATCCGCGGATCGGATGCCGCGGGGCAAGGGGAAAGACAACGGGGCCCCGGGACGATAACACTCGCGAGACCGTCGACGAGACCCCGCGGTATCGCGAAACGGCGCGCGGCGTCGCGACGCGGCACTCTTTCTCTCTTTCTCTCTGCCTCCCTCGCCAGCTGCGCCGTCGTCCCCGATATCGACTCGCCGAGGGTTGGTGGGCGACTGAAGCCCCGCTGGAGGGGTTTCCCTGATAAGAGCCGTCACGGTGCATAGGGAATTTCGAACGGCCGACCGTTCGGAGCTGACGCCGAGCGCGGGTTTGATAAGGCGGATTTGATAAGGCGAATTGGATTCGATCGTTAGCCTTGTCGCGGCTACGGGGTATTTAAACGCTCCGAGATAATTCCGGAGCAGATAAGAGAAGAAAAGAGAGAGCTTCGTGGGCCGAAACAAGGGGAGATTACGTGGATTCTCGACGCCAGGAGATAAAAACTGATACGTTGTGCAGTAATGAATTCTGCGTATCAGGTAAAGCATTTGCAGAAGATGATTGCGCACCGCTTGAGAATCGAGAAGTGAATAATTGCTGGCGAGCATATTTGATGAATGTTAAAAGTAGCGCGCGTAATAAATGAACTTTGTTTCTTCTTTCATCAGGTTTATATTGAGCGTTCGGAAAGTACAATATAGAAACGCGGTGATAGAAAAATACATGACTATGCAGTCGTTGCAATTTTTAAAACACACGCACGAGTTGTCGGCATTAATCGTTCGAAGTTCGAACTTCAAGCACACACATTTTGTTTCAACGAGCGCAAACAATTAAACGACACCTGGAAGCAGTGTTTGAAGTTCCTGAGAGAGGGGGAGACGACAAAAGATAACGAAGCTAAGCCTACGTACGTCGAAGCAAACAGATTTAATTAGAACCTTTCTTACTCGCTTAATATCGTTTAATTAGAACCTTTCCTGGTTTAATTCCGAGCAGCCGATCGCCACTTACCGAGACAGGGTGTCCAGGCAAACTCAATGAAAACAATTCTCTGGCTCTTTTCAGGTCTTCCAGGAGCTGGAATTAGGTTTTCCCTGACCGTTTAGTGTAACTTTTCTCAAGATGCACAATTTGCGTACGTCTGTATGGTAAATCAAGTAAGTGTTAAATTTTGTTTTATAGCTTTGTCTCAGTTGAACACATTGAAATAATATAGCACGACGATGAAAATATAAATTGCCGACCACGCTTATAAATAAATTGATGTTTAGCAAAACAGAAAATTAGTGCACCGAGAGCCACAGGAAAGTTTATTTTTTAAAAGCTTCAAATTATTCAGAAAGAAATGTGAAACGATGTAAAAAAAATCCAGATAAATCGTGCAATTTCCTGACTTTTCCCTAACAATTCCTGGCTTTCCAGATTTTCCTGACTACTGGACACCCTGCGAGAGGCGAAGGAAAAATCATCACTCGTGCAAACGAAGGGTGGCGTTTACCTGACTTGATGGACGTGTCCATCTTCTTGATCTCGCCGTACAGTATAGCCGCCAGCCAGGACAGAGCGATCAGCCAGAACGTAATTAACACCGCCGCCAGCCACAGGGATACGATCCGCATGTCCGACCTGTTGCAGCCGCAGCCGTCGCTGTGCCGGCTCCTGGTCAAGATCCGCGATCTGTGCCGCCTGCAATTGAGAGAAAAGCAAGCCGCCCGTCCGTAAGCGACGTCCTGGACCCAGTCTACAATGCGTGGAACAAGCCTGGCGTAAGAGGCAGGAGTAAGGAAACGAATCAGTTTGATTTCTTACTCCTACCTCAGCTCTTACTCTCGGCGAATCAGAACGCCATCGGCCGGTGTTACCAAGAGACTCAAAAAGAGTCTAGGACCGTCTAAGAAATAGAAAACCATAGCCTTTACCTTTCATTGTCAGTGCAAGAGCTAAAGTACAGGCAATCGATCTAAAAAATACTTGTAGCACTAGCCGACTCCGAATCGCTGAAAGTAAGCGTAAGGCCCGGTCTGCAATGAGTCGTTAGTCAGAAGTCAGGACTGTATGTCTATCCTTTTTCTTTCACCCGGAAAGATCTCACCTCTGACTAAAGGCCAATGTCCACAATGCTAGAACTTGG